GCTGGCGAATTACATAATCCGAAAGGCATGATTAAATATTCGTAAGCCCCGAGATAAGTGTTGAAGGCGGTCTTCCACTCGTAGCCTTCCTTAATCCGGAGCAAATTATAGGCGCCCCTTAAATCCAACTTCGAAAAAACAGATGCGCCCTGAACACGAGACAATAACTCAGGAATCAAAGGCAACGGATAACGGTCCCGGATGGTAAACTTATTCAAAATACGATAATCACAAACTAAACGTAAATCACCCGTCTTCTTGGACACGAAGAACACTGGAGCCGCCGTGGGAGAACTGGACGGACGGATGAACCCTTTGGCCAGATTCTCCTCAATGTAGTCCTTCAAGGCCTGGCGTTCTGGAAGAGACAAAGCGTAAAGCCTGCCCGCAGGCAACTTGGCGTCCTCCATCAACTTTATCTGGCAGTCATAAGGCCTATGGGGTGGAAGATTGTCAGCCTGTACCTTGCTAAACACATCATAAAAGTCTTTATAGCATTCAGGAACACCTTCCACATCCGTTGGACTTACTGCCAACGTTCCACATACAGGTGGTGCTAAGGTAATGGTCTTGGCTTGCCAGTCTATTCTGGGATTAATCTTGGACAGCCAGTCCATGCCTAGGATGATGGTATACCTAGGCAAGTTAATCACATCCCAGGAAAACCGACCCTCTATACCTTGAGCCTCCCACCTCAGGGGCCCAGTCTCCATAGTAACAGACCGGTGGCCCACTAGAGCACCATCTGCTCCTTCCACCCACTCTGGCTGGCGCTTCCTTTGTAACACAATATGATGGTCCATAGCGAAGCTTGTGTCCATATAAGACCCGGTTGCCCCAGAGTCCACTAGGGCCCAAGTGGAGAACCTATTGCCTTGGTTAGAACAGAGTTCAATGGGTAAAAACACATGGTCTTTACACCGGGGCCACTGAACCGCTGGCCCTAATGTGCTTGCCCCAGTGCACATTAGGGCTGGCCTTTTCCCTGCTCCCTGGGAGCCTTGGCCGGACAACTGCGGGCGAAATGGCCCCCCGCTCCGCAATACAAACATAAATTGAGCTGACGCCGTCTCTGCTTCTCCTCCCTGGATAACCGGCGTTGACTCCCCAGCTGCATGGGCTCCTCGGAATCCAGACTGGAACAGACAGCAGCGGCGGTGACTTGAGGGGAGGGGGTAGACTGGAACTGCGGCTGGAAATAGCCCTCCTTCCTCAGCATGTTCTGTCTCCTCTCCAGTCGAAGAGCCGTTTTAGTCAAAGCCTCCCAGGTGTCAGGAGGTTCAAAGCGTGCCAATTCGATTTTTAAAGCTGGAGCAAGCCCTGCTGTGAAGCAAGTCATAAAAGCTTTCTCGCCCCAGTCCAAGTGCTGTTTCAGATGGTTGAAACGATTCAAATAGTCCAGCACACATTCCTTCCCTTGCCGGATAGCATGTAACTCACGGCTGGCATTCTCTTCCTGGAGAGGGTCTCCAAACATCTCCTTCAGAGCGTCCAAAAAGCCAGCATAATTGCTCAGCAAGGGGCTATTGCAATTAACCAAATTTACTGCCCACTTGCCCGCTCGGCCCGACAGCAAACTGATCACGAAAGCCACTTTGCTTTCATCTGTAGCATAAGCAGTTGCAGGCACTTGCTTAAAGTAAACTTCAGTCTGCATTAAAAACAGTGGCAAACCATCTTTATCTCCGATAAAGCGCTCAGGGACGATAGCGCGAGCCGTGCGTGGCCCGCCAGCCAGTCCTCCCCCACGGAGTTCATCAAACTGCGCTTTTAACAAAGCTAATTGGTCTGCCAACTCCCCAAGAGATGCCATAACTCCTGCTGGGTTTGTTTCAGGCAGAGTTCAATCTGTCAAGACCCAGGTCCAGCGGCAAGACAAACGGCAAAGCAGGAGTTAACACAAAGCACACAGCATGCGACACTTTGAACTCTGCGATTAGATGGTCATCAAACCGCTCCTTAAATTTCATCCGAATCGCTGGAGCTGCTTTCAGCTGGATCTAAACCCTCAGGTGAATTGAAGCCACGCCATTGCTGCCACTCAGCACTTCGGGCTGCATCCTGCAAAGTAACATCATTAAAACCCTGGAATTCATCGCTAGATGTGGGGGCGTTAAGAACATCCATTACTTCCTGAACTTTAGTCCAGTCCAGCTCTTCCTCTTCGCTGTCAAAGTCTGCACAGTCAGCTACGTCTCTCAGACGTTTAGCAACAGACCCCACATCACTATTAGAGCTGCTGGCTACTCTTTTTACACCTCTGTAGTCATCTAGCACCATTTCCTCGTGAGTAAAGCCCACAAAATCCTCCTCATCAGTAGTCTCAAGAAACAAGTCCCTGATCCTTTTCAGCTGCTGCTGCTCTTCATCATTCTCTAAGCCACGTTTTCTCCTACAACTGGTAGTAGGTGCATCAGACAGACGCTGAGTCTCAACACCTATAGAACCTATCTTGTTTCTAACTTGGGGACTGCCTATACATGTTTTCTTTTAAACATTCACTATTGAAAATATGAATGAAAGAAAAACCCAATAAAAGCCTAAAAATAATAAATGATAATGAAACTTTTTTTCCCTACCTTTTCATGGTAGGGTCTAGGGATAGGAATTTTGGCAATATATATATTCAAAATGAAGCATGGATGTTGCATTGGAGGGTAGCAACAGAATTGATCTACAATCAAACTTGAATACATAAACAAATAGCTGATTTTCACTCACTCTTAACCGAATAATTTATATAAGTTTTGCTTTCACTTATTAGAGTTCATTCAAGTTCTCATTATTTAGTCGGTCTACTCTAGCTGGTACTTAGAAAACAGTGTAGCCTTGTGATTTGAGAGCCATCTGTTTTATTTTACACGCAGACATATTTCAAGAGCATAAATGCCTCTTTATTGGCCCAGAAATTTGAATAGTTTTTGTCAACAATGTTGTTTGTGCATGATTCATAATAATTCATAAATACTAATGGAAAATGTGTTTGCAAGTTAGAAATATCTAGCATCTACATATATTTCAAGTGGAAGCTTGATAGATCTTTCAACCCACCATAATGCATTCCATACAAATGCAGCATCTCTAGAAGATTGTTGAGATGCACATTTACAATGCCATAAGATAATGGAGGTAGGGTAGATGGATTTGCTGACATCCAGAGGAGACAAATAAGAATTTGACATCTGTCTAGAAGGTGAGGGAGTGTGGCCTCAGTAGGTGATTTAAGTCAGCCACACACTCCCCTTCTCTTTTAATTTCATTGGCATGGTAACAACATCAGTTGCTACGTCAGGTTTAAGGGAGTTTAATTGGCATTTTCAATTTTGTATATTGATTAATAACTGTGTGGGATTTATATAAGCTGTTTTTTTATTCCTGTTTCTTCATTGCCTTTTTATTTTGGAAATTTTGGGATTCATTTTGCCTTGCCTCGGGTTATCCTTGATTGGAGGGAGGTCTTGAAGGTTGGGTAAGGGGAATCCCCGGGGGGGGGGGGTCTCTTTAGTTTTGGACATTGGTTGTGCACAATTCATAATAATTCATAAATACTAATGGAAAATGTGTTTGCAAGTGAGAACTATCTGGTATCTAGCACATACATCTCAAGTGAAAGTTAGATAGATCTTTCCACCCACCATAATGCACTCTATACAAATAAAGCATCTCTAAAAGATTTGTTGAGATAAGGTCTGTGTTGTAGACAAAACATAAAGATAAAAAGAACAAAATGGTAATATTGGCCATTGGAAGCTATGTAGTATCCGAATCACTCCAATCAGGAGGAACTAATATTATGTTTCAATAAGAAACAAGGCAAAGCATAGGTTTAGGTGATGTTAATGGCATTTTCAGTTGCAAGACTACCTCCGAAATGCACACTTCAGTCCTAAAGCCTGATAATGAGACAAAAGATCACATGGGCTGGAAAGAAGAATCTCTCTCTATCTATCTGTCCATCTATCTATCTATCTATCTATCTATCTATCTATCTAGCTAGCTAGCTTCCTATTATAACCCACTCTTGACTGAATAATTTATTTACAGAACATATGTGATTTGTTTACAGAACATATGTGTATGTATATATATAGAGGGGGGGATATTTTTGAAGAAATAATCGGATTAATTCTGTAAAGTTTTGTTGCTCAGAGCAAAATAGATTCATCCAGTTCTTTTCATAGAAATCCACTGTATTATTAGATTTAACAAATGGTTTTGTTTGTGTTTGTATATATTAGAAGTGTGGGATTTAATCATCATTTTTCTTTTCTCACTAGACATTTTTCTTGCTCTCACTGTACCTCTTTTTCCTTACATAGCAGCAAACATGAATTGTAATCCGATTTTACTTTTCATGTTGCAAGGAGCTTTAGCTATTCCTGATTCTCTGATTTGAAGAATGTTTCATTTTACATGAATATTTTTGAAATCGAATGTGTGGAATATCTATATATTTTTTTTGGCAAAAAACAATTAATTAAAAGACAACTGTTTCTAATTCACTTGTCTGTCCAGCTAAAGTTGGCCTATTAAATAGCTAGAATATACATAAATGTAGATGTATATAACCAGTGTTTGATTCATTTGGTCTGCTTATTAGAATTAGCAATTTGATTTAGACTGTGGATTTCAGTGAAACTGTTACCCTTTGTAGAAAACCGTGTCCTAATTCTTCTCCTGAAGAGAACATATGTATATGAGAAGTACAAAAAGGCCATTTTTTTAAAACTTCTGAAGCTAGCTTTTAAATATTACTAATATATTAACAGGGTTAATAGCTTTTGTTTTTGTTTTATTATTTTTTTCAAAAGGAAAACATTTGCACTTGAAAATGAATGTTCTTAAAACTTATATTACATATATTTGACTACATTAGTGCTATATTAGTTTTCAAAACTGGAGGAAGGGAGAAAACAGTGACAATAACGGAATGGTACAACCAATTTTGAGACTATTAACCCAAAACTACCCCTTCTCTCCTTTTCTATGCCCTCTTACAGGTTTTCTGAGCACTGGAGACCAAGCTGCAAAAGGCAATTATGGATTGCTTGACCAAATCCAGGCTTTACGATGGATCGAAGAAAATATTGGATCATTTGGAGGAGACCCCAAAAGAGTTACTATTTTTGGATCAGGGGCAGGAGCGTCCTGTGTTAGCCTGTTGACACTATCTCATTATTCAGAAGGTAAATTTATTTCTTGCTAAATACAAGTAATGTTACAATTTCTTGCTAAATACAAGTAATGTTCAATGTTACAATTTAATAGTGAATTGCAAGTTAGCAAAAGCTTTAAATATCTACAATCTTTATGATATCAAATCTATCATTAGATTTTTAATTTTTTGAAGAAAAAAAAGCTTTACACAATTGATAATATAATTTCCATGTACCATAAAAGTAATTGTAGCCAGGATAAACATGCTGAAAATGCAAACATCTCAGTCTTGCTGAACATAACATTTATTCACTATAATAAAACAATAGACTTGTATGATTTTATGATGCACTTTCCTCTCTAGAATGTTATATTAATTGCTACTCCTTAATTGGCTAATGTAATCTACTCTTCATAAGACTGCATTTTGAAATGCATTCCGAATTTGGATCTAGTACAAAATAGGAAAACCAGACCATCATCTGATAAGCATGTAGGGACCATGTTACTAATTTTGTTCTTTTAAAAGCAGTAATTTTACCAATATTTATCTGTCTGTGAGAAAGTATTTGAAAATCACAAACCTATTTGCAATTTGGAGCATGTACTGTACGAAATTCAAATGTGGTTGCTTTGTATAGAAAACAGCCTTCTGTGCACAAATTATTTTTTGCATAGAAATATTGCAGAATTTAATTTTTTTGCAGAAAATGTTTTGCATAAATGTGCACATTTTGCACAGATCTAGACCTGAACTGAAAAGATTCTTCTTAGTCCAGGATTCTTCCAATCAAGGATTCTCAAATTTTGCAGCGTATCTTCTTCTAGTTTATCTTAGTCATGATATATGTAGTACATCTTCTGAAGAACAGTCTTGGAATTTTTGAAAAGAATAGATTATTAATTGTTCTTAATTAATTATAATAATGTTTGTACTGTTTTACATTATTTTTATTTCTGCTGTTATTAGATATAATGTTAGCACATTTATTAATCTAATTTACAAATCATTTCAATGATGTGAATAATATTTAAATAATTGGAATAACAAAAAAATTAAGAATAGTTTTGTCATCAGGGATTTTCTTGACTCACTGACACATCTTCAAAGAAAATAGTAAAGTGTCTCCAGATTGTTTTGTATTTCATGATATTTTTGAAAAAGACTGTTTTCTGCACAAAGTCTTGGTTTGGCACAAAGTTTCATTTCTTGTGAAATATTTGCAGTGTGAAAATCATTTTAAACTTGCAAAACAATGGGAGAAGAGAATGTTTGAAGTAATTCATTCTTCCATGTGAGAGTATACTAAGTGAAGATTCTCATCACTTGGGCAGGATAATGACTTATGCATACAAAGGCTAGAAGTAGCAATAGGAGTGTGTTCCATTTGAATAAAGCCTTCTTTCTGAATCCCTTGCTGATCAAGTCTCCCTTTCAATTCAGCTTACTCAGTAGCACTCTATTCCTCTTCAAAGATGTGAATGAATACTTTGTAGAATGTTGCTAAACAAAAGTTCTTGCTAATTGCATTATAATAACATTTTGAGACTCCTAAACTACATATTTTCTAATAACGAACAATATAGTTTTGCCAGACAAGGCATCCCAAATATGTGCTGCTTTTTTATTATTCTCTCTTTTTTCCCTCACTTGAAATGTAACTCATCTGGGATAGGTTTTAAAAAATCCACCAGCTGTGATATGCTTTAGTGATGCAGAGCAGCTTTAGACCAGCTTCGGGTGGCTTCACATCAATGGAGCATAGCAATGAAGTCTCACTGTGCCACTGAATCTGATCCCAATTCCCAAATCCTTTAAAAAGGGAAATGCAGATATGCTCTATTTTATTAATCTAGTCAGTTGTTAAATGCAGAAAGCCCATCCAAGTAATGAGAACTGAGGTTCCAGAATAAAATTCAAACCTATTAAACTGATTTTAGTGTAACCTTTTTTTCCAGATTATATGATGTATGGCTTCTGTGAAATGGAGTACGGGGTTACAGTTTCTCTTTATGCAAGTCATTCATGCAAAGAGGAAATGATTGCTTATGGCTGTAATTCTGGCCAAGTCCTTGATCATAAAGCTTGGTTGTGTGAAGTACTTTATATGTGCTAGTGAAACTGACCAAGCTCAGGCTTGCTTATGAGCTCAAAGGCCCATTTCTCAAAAGAAGTGCTGGAAAATAAGAGTTAGAATAATCCTATAAATGGAGCATCTATATGATATTTTCTCATCCCCTAAAGTGAACAAAGCCAGCTAGGAGTCAGGAAGACAGAGACTGGTAAAACCATAGACACCTGGTGTGTGTGTTTGTGTGTGTGACAGCATCATGTGTTTTCATGGTTGCAATCTCTCTATTCACCCAGGATATGGGCATAATATGATTTTAATACAGTGATTACAAGAGGTGTGACAACGAAAACAGCTAGGGAGAAAGTCCCTTTTCATAAAACATTAATTTTCCCTAAGTGTCATCTTCCCATTAGCCTGACTTTTTCACCAGTTTTCATCAATAGGATTGGTTGAAATCTTCAAATAATTTGCATAGTTTCATAATTCTTTACTGGCTGACAAACTTTTAATTCAACGAGAAAATATTGCTGGAATCCTTTTTCTTTACATGGGGACCATATTATTACATACTAAAGTAAGGATTGTCCATGCTGAAAAGAACGCCCTCAGTCTTCCTTCAGGTGAATCACCTGAGCATCAAAGGCAGTTCAACCATTTGGGTTGCTTTTCAGCTTTCCCTCTATTGGAAAGCAAACTTTGGGCACTCCCACTGAAATCCTAGAACTTACTTACTGGAGAGAGAAAAATGCTCAGACTTATCTTCAGGGTATCTCTTTCACAAATCCTCTAGACCCTGCAACCTTTAAAGGCTGCTCCAGAGCAGTATCCTAGACTTAAAAGATTTCCAATGTGAACACTGAATTCTTAACTTCACTCCACATTGTCTGCCAAAGGCAACTTGTTTATAAACACCACCCTAATCAACTGGATTGAGGGAGGAGTCACATTCAGAGCTTGAAGAGGCATGTGATGAGGTGGTATGGCTTTAAGTAGCCTGCAGACCCCATCCTCATCGCATGGAGTATTTTGGTACTTGGTGCCTTTTTGCAAGGTTTCCTGGTCTCTGACCATAGAGGCTATCCAAGTGGTTGACCTGCAGTCCAGAAACTCTGTCTTATGCCAACATGTGACAATTCCTACATTTGGGTTAAGGTGTATCATGGAGACACGTCTAAGATTGTGAATGTTACTTAATTATATCAGCTTCTTGTAGTATATATTTGTGAAATTTATGTACCTAGGAATTTATATTTTTCATATGTATAGTTATAGATACCATTATAGTTAAGTAATAATTCTGTCTCCCTCTCTCGTGTGTGTGAGCACACAGACATGGGGGGAGGGGTATTGGAAAAATGAACTAAGAGCTTTTTTTGTTCAAACAGAAATAAATTCACTCTTCATTAGGATGTACTTCCTCTAAATAATATACAAAAGATTCTTTTGCATTATAAATGCTGCTTGTTCATGTATTTTAATTTTAACTTTTGCACCTGCAGGTCTGTTCCAAAAGGCAATCATACAAAGTGGAACAGCCCTGTCCAGCTGGGCAGTGAACTATCAGCCTGCCAAGTACACTGCAATTTTGGCAGAAAAAGTGGGTTGCAACACATTGGACACAACAGACTTAGTTGAATGCTTTCGGAATAAGAACTACAAAGAACTCATTCAGCAAACAATAACGCCAGCTACATACCACATTGCCTTTGGGCCTGTGATTGATGGGGATGTAATTCCAGACGATCCTCAGATTCTGATGGAGCAGGGAGAATTCCTCAACTATGACATAATGCTAGGTGTAAACCAAGGGGAAGGTTTAAAATTTGTGGACGGCATTGTGGATAATGAAGAAGGTGTCTCCCCAAATGATTTTGATTTCTCAGTATCCAATTTTGTGGACAATCTCTATGGTTATCCAGAAGGAAAAGACACCCTGCGAGAGACCATTAAATTCATGTACACAGATTGGGCAGACAAGGAGAATCCTGAAACTCGAAGGAAGACGCTGGTAGCCCTCTTTACTGATCATCAGTGGGTGGCACCAGCTGTTGCCACTGCCGACCTACATGCCCAGTATGGCTCCCCAACATACTTCTATGCATTTTATCACCACTGCCAGAGTGAAATGAAACCCAGCTGGGCTGATTCAGCACATGGTGATGAAGTTCCGTATGTGTTTGGCATTCCCATGATTGGCCCTACTGAACTGTTTAACTGCAACTTTTCAAAGAATGACGTCATGCTTAGTGCAGTTGTCATGACTTATTGGACAAACTTCGCCAAAACCGGGTAGGTTTGCCTCATAATGGTTTTTTGCATGTGCTGTTCTTTTGAAATCTAAAACTCTGCATTTGACCCTCTAATGAAATATTTCAGAATTTGGCAAATCTTGCTTTGTGGAGAGCTTCTTGAAAGTGAACATTCAAAGTATTACTTCGTGGTACTAAACAAAGACTTTAGAGGGTCTTTGCACATGTGCAAAAACCTAAAAATAGGTTTTACATAATTTTTTTCAGACCCAGCAAAGTTATTTGATATGATACTAGATACTATATACTATATGATACTAGATTCTTCTTTTAGTATGCTGCAGAGTCCAGAGTCAGCTTTCAGAGAGTGCTGGCCAGCTGTACACATTCACCTCCAAATCAAGCTTGCTAAAAAAATTAAGAAATGCATGTTTTTAAAATGATTTTAAACCTTTTAAGATCAATGCATTTTAACATAACCGTGTTTTAACCTTTCCCCCATCATGTTTTTAGCTGTATTATGTTTTAGGTTCCTTACACACTAAACATTTCAATGCAAGAACACACAAAGTCTTACAACCCAATGCAAAAGAAAAATGTGGAGAGAGTGATTTGAGGGTGTAGTGATTTGAGTGTTGAACCAGAACTCTGGGAGACCAGAGTTCAAAACCCCTCTCAGCTGTGGAAATGTCTATGTAATGTTGGACAAATCATATTCTTTCAGCCTAAGGGGAAGACATTGGAAAATCCCCTCTGAATAAATCTTATCATGGCATCCCATGACAGAGTTGTTCTAGAATTAAGGCTCATATGAATCTGTGTACACACATGAAGAAAATGAGAGAAATTCAACACATTGAGAAATTACAATAGTTGTGGGAGATAGTAGTGGATTGGGCAGTGGCCATGCAAAATCATGTGTGGAACATTAGTGCCTGAGAATATAAGAAATTGGAAATGAGTGTTATACAGACAGACTCATTTACTTCACATCTTTATTTTGTATTGTAAGACACCACTATTGAGATGTCACCCCAAACTGCTTTTATCAGCCTTTATTTTAGGAATATTGGGGTGTCTTAGTTTTGGAAGTGAGGTGCTACCAAATATTCGAAACAATAAAAGTGTACTTGCCAACAGTATAAAGATAGAACCTTATTGATTAAATCCAACATATGAGAATACTTCATAGTTAATTCATCCTTACAGCTGTTTTATTTTCTAAAGACCTTTATGTCGATTTTAAAACTTCTTCCCTCCAATATATTTTCTCACTTCTGTAAAGAAGGATGCACTGAAGTTTCATATGAAAATAGTGCAATTATTAAACCACAAATGTTCACCAAAGCCAAAGATTAAGGCTATAAAGAGTAATTCAGGAAATGAAATTATGATGTATATCAAAAAAAGTCCTTTGTGCCCCCTCTACAGAATTACCTAGTTCCTTTTTAAAGCATGGGGAATAGATAAAGAATTACAGACACTCCTTGTCTAATCAGACTTTTGTCTAGAATTAAAGTTAATGTGTCTTATTTTGAAACTTTAAAAGACATCTGTGAAGACAGATAAGAACAAGAAGCATTAGAAAGGCGTTTTCTGTCAAAATGTCCCTGAGAAATATTGCAATATTCTAACACACAAACACACGTACCTAGCAAGCAGAATTTGTCATTCTGGTTTTGCTTTAGAAATTTGATTTTTCTTCTTCCTTGTCTTGGTGTTGAATTCAAATAAATGCCCTTGTGGCTGTACCAAAGGCCCATAAATCTTCCCAATGTACACTTAATGGCAGGGCTGGGCCTTGGGAACTGCAGTTCTGCTGCAGTGCAGAAGATGGCATTCAGCAGTATCCAAGATTCCAGAGAAATGTGTTACATCCTGACATATCAACAAGTTTAAGAAACTCTTAAGGCATTTAAGAACCCAAGAGATATAATGTACAAAATAACATGGTATGTTTTGCACAGCAATAGTAACATATCAAGTAATAGAAGATTAGTAACATATCAAGTAACATATCAAGTAATAGAAGACATGGATGTTTAAACAAGCATTCGGTTAATCCGTTGCAACGAATTATGATGACTAAAGGACTGGTAATCATGGACGATGAATTTGGATTGCGACTCCAGTTACGAGATGCATTGGATGGTTATTGGTGGCCCAATAATTTGTATTGTATATGTGTTTTATGCTTTTAAACTGAATATTGTTGTTTTTTAAGTGTTGTAAACCGCAATGAGTCGCCGATTTAGGCTGAGATATTAGTGGTATACAAGCGCATAAATAAATAAATAAATAAATAAATAAATAAATAATAGTAACATATCAAGCAATAGTAAAATATTAAGTAATGTAAGATACTCCCTGACCAAATTTCACAAAAATGACCTCAGAAGCACTTTATTTTATGGTTCGTGCAATTAAATCCTTCCTCATCCCAGATCCCCCTTCCCAATAATTTACACTGCCCAATCTCCAGGTGTTTTAAAATTCTATCCTTAAATTTGGCCCTGCCCCGTGTAATCCTGTGTGTTTAATATTTGATTTTATATTGCTGTGTCACTTATTATATTGGTTTTGCATTTTATGTTTTTTTCTAGTTCTGTTATGCTTTTGTGTTCTATTGTGTTTACTGTACTGATGGGCGTGGCCTCTTATAAGCCGCCCTGAGTCCCCCTGGGGGAGATGGAGCGGGGTATAAATAAAGTTATTATTATTATTATTATTATTATTATTATTATTATTATTATTATTTGATACATTAAAGAAAGTGGTAAGGGAAGTATCCTTGAAGGAAACTCTGTTTTCTCTTGAATTATATCACTGATCTCTTTAAACGACATTGAAACCCACTTAATGTCAAATGGTAATCATAGGAACTCATAGGTCTTGTGGTGGGTTATCCAAAGCAGAACTGGGATGGTGGTTCATCAGAAGGCATCTGATTTGCTACCCAACCTATGCCACATGAATGGTCTAAATACACTTCAGAAATACATCCCATTTAACAGAATAGTAGTTCAGAAAGGGTAGGCGCTGTCACAATTGATTCTGAGCTGTGGAAGAAAAAGGTGTGTGGCCTTGACAATCCCTTAGAGTCATGCAGGTTTTACCTCCCATTTTTAAGAGAAATAGTCTGGTAGCAGCAGAATTCAACATTTAAAATACAGTTTTGAGCAACCACTATTACAAGAAAATAATATTTGATGCAGCACACTTAATGTTAGCTGGCAAAAAAGGTCCATAACTTGGCCTTCAGCACCCCTTACAGCCGCTGCAGTTCTCCAAGTTGCGATACCATCCCTTGACCAAGACATCTGGCTTCAGGGATTTTATTCCCTGGAAAATGAAGTTTATTAAGAATGAAATCTAGTCCATTGCAATCCTGTGCAAAGTCAAGTGAGAATTATGTACTATTGTATTAAGCAGAACTTACTTCTTAGTAAGTTGCATTGAATTTATTTACAGTAGGACCCCAGTATTTAAGGGAGATATGTTTGCAGTGTAATGTGGATTGTAAAGTGAGCCCTGTCACCACAACTGGGAAATAAAGAAGAATTAAATACATAGAATCATAAATTCGTAGATACCACAAGGCTCATCCAGTGCAATCTCTTGCTATTCAAGCACATACAATCAAACATCTTCTGACAGATAGACATCCAGTCTCTGTTTAAAAACCTCCAAAGATAGTGACTCCGCCACATTCCAAGGCAGCATATTCCACTCTTGAACAGTTCTGACAGCCAGAAATTCTTAATAATCAGGTGGATTCTCTTTTCCTGCAGTTTTACTCTATTACTTCATTTTTTAGTCTCAGGAGCAGCAGAAAACAAGCCTGTTACATTTTAAATATTGTATCCTGTCAAATATTTAAACAAGGCTATCATGTTTCCTCTAAACATAAACCTCTTAAGAGAATATTTGCAAGTTACAGCAAAAAAAATTCAATACTTGCTAATTGTAGCACATTATTGCTTTAAAATGTGAGATGGACTCAATCTTCATCTAGACTTTTCTTTCTCCCTGATGCTGAGTCTGCCAAAACTGAATAATTCATATCTTCATCCCCTACCTGGTGATGGCCCATGAAGATTGGAGACTCCAAGGCCCTGAGATCTGGCAACTTTGTCAGGGAGGGATTCAAGAGAATCAAGAAACTGGAATGAAAAGCAATATGTGTGTGTGTGTGTAGCTGCCTTCTTTCTAATTAGTTGTGTTCCTCCCATTTCCAAATTGAACATACCACTCTCTTGTGGATGGAAAAGGAAGGCATTACTTAATGTCAACCTATGGCATCGAGTAAATGCAGAAGTATCTGATGCTTTACCTAGAACATGAGATGTCTGAGAAACATAAAGAAGCAGAGACCTCTTTTAGAAGCATAGAAAGAGTGGTGTTTTCTTATATGAGAAATCTGTTGATCTCACTTTTACAATTAAATTGTCTCACAACCTAGTTTTATTTTTAAAGGCCATTTTCAATCTACAGTCTTGACCCAAAAGAGGACACCATCATAACTGAAACAAGATAAGCAGTATGACAGAGCTCTGAAGAAAAGAGGATGAGTATCCAAATGGGAAGAAAATGCTTCCTATAGATAATTTTAATGGACATCTGTGATAGTGGACCCTTGGTGGTAATAAACCAACTCCCTTTAAGACTAGCATGCAATTAAAACAGTGCCAGCAATTTGATTGGCACATATACATTGCTATATGTTCATGATGGGCAGTTTGGCCATGGTAGCAACAGACAAAGATATCTAGGATTAGCTGGTCTGTGGGAAAATTCTTTTGGATTTTCAGGTAGATTTAAAAAGAACAGACCTGAATGGTCACACTGGAGTAGTAGGTAAGCCACACAACTTCTAAATAAGTGATGACGATGCTGGATCTTTTCGATGCAGTTACCATATATACTCATGTATAAATTGTTGACTGATTTTGGATTTTGATATAACCCACTGATAAGCTAAGGATCATTCTGCGGAGAGGGGAGAGCACCATTGTACTATTTCCTGACCCAGGCATTCAG